CTATAGAGGGTAAAATGTTGATATTGTAAATCTGATCCAAAAGTCAGATTAAAGTCAATGGAGTTCTGCATGAGTGTATGTATCCATCCATATTGTAGGAATGGAGTCTTAGGGTCAGATTTCCCTCAGCTTGATGTCTTGTACAGCCATTTACAAATGAGTTAAAAGTGGTCATAGAATGCTATATAATAAGAACAGTTACACTTTATACCCATCTTGCTTCCATGTGAATAGCTTCCACAGGTGCAGGCCAGTAGAAAATCTGGCCTTCAGAGAAATCTCTTGCCTAAATTATTAATGACAAACTATTTGATGAGTTCTCTACTTGTTTGAACTTTCATACTTGCACTTACAGATTTTCACTTATAATTTGCATAGAAAGAATTCATGGGTATAAATGCAAATATATGTTAAATTAAAAATGGAGGGTTATGATTTATAATTCCAGTATACAAAATCATATTAAGGAAAAGAGAACCTCAACATCTCTTTCAAAACTTCCCATAGAACACTCTACAATATGGCTCATGAGATCTGCTTTGATATCAAATAATATATAGACTACAGGTGGTTTTTTTTTTCCATTTATCCTTTTTACCTTCTTAGGTATATTTATTTGTGGTCCATTCCTATAAGCACTTACTACTTGTTTATTGTTAGCAGCCTGAATAAGTGTTTATAAGGATGGAAGATTTCAGTTATAGTTTATCAGATGAATAGATTTATGAGAGAGAATAACAACAGTATTCAGAAAGGATTAGTATTAAGCCAGTTTTTCCCAACCTATGAACAGGGAAGACATGTCTTCATATAAGTAACTCATAGGGATGTGTGAAGCTTAGGGTGCTGATTCAATTTGGAGGAGATTTGGCCTGATTCAGTGGCTGAATCTCCAAATCTGAACTGAATCAGGGGACCAATGAAAAAGTCCAAATTGCTTAGAAGCTCTCTGAATCAATTCAGAAAAGACTGAGAGAGCTTGGATGATTTAGGCAGTCCCCGCCCATTGCAGCAGGGAGCTGGAGCTGGACTCCATGCTTGTAAGTAGGGGGCGGGGGCGGGGGGGTGGAGGGGACCATGGCAGGACCCCCACCAGGCCCCATCCCCTGCTTGCTCCCCCAGTCCTCCCAGTGCTCCTCGACCCCCACCCACTCC